TAATTTCAGAATGAATTCAATTGGATTTCTAAAGCTGTCCGAGCACGCTTTCATCCCGTATAGACACACAAACAAAGCAGCAGGCTTAGACCTAAGATCGCCAATTAGGGTTACTATTCCTGCAAATGGGAGAGCTTGTGTGTTGTTAGATCTAGCAGTTACACTGCCTGCCAATTGTTATGGCAGAATTGCACCGAGATCTGGTCTCGCGTTAAAAAAATGTATAGATGTGGCAGGCGGAGTGATTGATGCGGATTTCGCTGGTAACATAGGGGTTATACTGTGCAACCATTCAGATGAGGATTATATGGTAGAAAGGGGAGACAGAATCGCACAATTAATTTGCGAAAAGATTTGCTATCCGCAGGTGTATGAACTAGTTTGTATGGAGGAAACAGAAAGGGGTGCAGGAGGTTTTGGTTCTACTGGACGATAGATTGCAATCTGTAATGTAGCAGAAGTCTAGGATGGGAAATTTAATTTTTATTTAACAATAAATTTTATTAACAGTTTAATATTATTACTATATTACTTGTGTAATAATAATAACATTAGTAATTTTACTTATTTACAGTAATGGCTCCAACACGGCCAAAACAAGAAGGCATAGCTTCAAAATATCAAATTAAAATATTGCAGATATTTAAAAAATATAAGAAAAAGTTTCATAAGCTAGTTGTAAAATAAGATTTTTGGATAGGCGGGTTTCTTGTGTTAGTAATTCACTAGATTTAGTAGTGGGTTAGTTGTGAGAATGTAAACTACATTTAACTTTAAAACCCAAAGCTCAAAATCAAATATTACTGTTTCATGAAATGCTATTGCAAGTTTAAAAATTGTAACATTTTTTTTTACATATTTGCAGTCATGAGTTCTCAGACACCGTCTAAACAGTCAGTTGAAGAGGGCGTTGTAAAATCTGCAGTGGGCATGATCAGTCTACTACATATAGTGCAAAATCTAATTACTCTTGGATTAAATTCAGTAGAACGATGGCTGAATATAATTCCAAAATTAAGAGACTCAGAACGATTCTATTCTCATCCTGAACTTGCGAATCTCCAATTGCTGCTAACTCAAATATCTCAACAGTTACATTCAAAACTATTTGAATTTTTCCCTAATGATCTATCACAAGAAAAACTCCCAAGACTCTTGGCTAAGGAAATCTCATCTAAAGATCTAATTAAATCCATCAAACCTTTGTTAAAGAAAAAAAATTTCAGTGATAGGTTCTTCTCAATTGAAACAAGCAATTTTTTTAATAAAGCAGTGGAAGATGCTTTGGCTTGTTTTAATTGTGGTTTATCAGAGCCCGAGGTTAGCATGATTGAAGATGATGATAATGATAAACCTTCAGTTCCAAAAAGAACCCATGAGCCCAGTGTTAAAATTTCCCTTAAGAGGAAAAGAAATCGTTCACCATCTCTATCTGAATCATCTGAAGCATCATCGGGTGATGAACATTCCGAGGCACCTGATTCCGGATCTGAATCAGATAACTCAGACAAGTTTGATAGGTTATTTGTTGTAAAATCCACAAAAAAATCCTCTAACATTAGGCAAACATTTCAAACCCAAAAGAAAAGATTGAGGAAGAAACTTATCACACCCGGTGAGGAGGGGCGTTACATGATTAAAATTGAGCTAACTGACACTAAAGATCTTAAGAAATGCCCAACAAGCAAGTTTTGGACTAAAGTATCGACAAAAGCTATTTTCTTGACAGAGCCAAAAACACAAATTTTTAAAAAGATAAGGAATGTTTTGTATGATGTAGGAAGGGCTATAAAAGAAACTCCTGGAGTTGAGTGTGAGGAGGTTAAGCTAGATAGAAAAGCTAATTAACAAGCAATTGTTTGTAGGTGTAGTATGTTAATAGGTAGATAGCTCATTACTAATAACTTATAAATAGTGGTGTTAGTTACACAATTGTAGAGGAGAAACCATTCTTAATAGTTTTATTAATCCACAGGATGGAGGTAAGCTCGGAAGGGGAGATGGAAACGGATGATGAAAGTGTTGCTCGAACACATTCCAGATTTTACCGGTCGTGTTCTGGACCTTTTGATGAATTTGTTGAATTAAGAAACGCATTCAGTGGAAACTTAAAAACATTTTATCTTAAAAATGGTGATGAGGAAAATAAGGACTTGTGTTTTTTGTTAATTTCGGTAGAATCAAAAATTAAAAGTATTATTCAAAACCTTTTAAGTGACTATGGGGCTTTAAAGTTCAATATAGTTAGTGAATGTACTTATATCAAACCAGTGACAGATGAAATACAACTGAGAACATTTAAAACTAAAAACAAGGCTGTACTGGAAAGTTCTTCAATAAACTCAATCTTGAGAAAAATGTTTAGTAAGCTGTGTAATGAAGAACATGAATACGAAGGGAAGGGGTCAGGATGGACACTGTCAACCGTTGATGGATTGCTTCTGAGATTTAGCAGGTATAGACCATTGCGAGGAAGCACCTATATTCCTCTACCAAAGGAAATCGCATTAAAAAAAGCCATCATCAACCCCCAAAACCATCGGGATATGAACTGTTTTGAATGGTCTCTCCTAGCAAGATACACAAATGACTATAGAATAACGGCTAAAACTTTAGAACACAGACACAAATTTGACTTTACAGGAATTTCCTTTCCCACACCAATCAAACAAATAAGTAAATTTGAAAAACAAAATCCTGGAACCAGTGTTAACGTTTATGGTTTAAATCAGCAGAACATAGTCTATCCTTTAAGAATAACCAATGAAGAAAAACCTAACCATTTTGACTTGCTTTTTATCTCAAAAAATGGGGTTAACCATTACTGTTATATTAAAGATTTGAGTAGATTAATTAGGAAACAATTAACTACCAACACTGGAAAATTGTCTATCTGTAAACGATGTTTTAAACATTACCAAGGTCCTAAGAGGAAAGTAAATCTAACTGCCCATTTAACTGACTGTTCCAAACAGACCCCAGCAAGAGTAGTAATGCCATCCAAACCTTCAGTAAATAATCAATCTGTCACGTCAAACATTTTGAAGTTCAAAAATCATCAATATTTATTTAAACTGCCAATTGTTTGTTATGCTGATTTTGAATGTTTGCTATTAAAAACAAACAAAAAAGTTTCTGATAAGACCTATGTTAATAATGTTCATGAACCAATGAGCTTTGGAGTGTATGTTGCTTATGATGATTCTCTGCCGGCTTATATAGCTAGCTATTTGCCTAAAGAACCTTACATTTATCGAGGGTTGGATGCTCCAGCAAAATTTATGCATTACATGAAAACTCTGGCTAATTTAATTGGTGATTTAACACAATTAAATGTCCCTATGTTGCCTTTAACAAATGATGAGAAACAACGGTTTAAAAATGCCACAAACTGTGAACTGTGTGACTGTGAATTTACATTGATTAATTGTCCAGTTCGTGATCACTGTCACTTTAGTGGGCGATTTAGGAATGTGCTGTGTTCACAATGTAATCTTAAGAGACAATCTCAGAAATTTTTACCAGTTTTTATGCATGGAAGTTCTAACTATGACAACCATTTTGTAATAAGAGAATTAGGGTGTGATAATTACAGAGTGGGTGTAATACCTAATTCAAAGGAAAAATATGTTACATTTTCCAAATATACTCAATCAGGCATTACTTTAAGATTTGTGGATACTTATCGTTTTATGGATCGATCATTAAGTGAGTTGGCTAATAACTTGCCAAAAGAAAACTTTTCCCATACTAAAAAATTTTTTCATGAATCTGATTTACCTCTGGTCACTCGTAAGGGAGTGTACCCATACCAGTATACGGATAGCTGGGAAAAACTAACTGACAAAAAATTGCCAGATAAATCCTTCTTTTACAAGGGTTTGGGAGATCCAACGATGGTTGATCCAGAAAACGATTCGTACCCTTATCAACTAGAACCGATTGATGAAAATGAATATCAGCATGCAAAAACAGTCTGGTCACATTTTAATTGTAGGGATTTAGGAAGTTATAGTGATCTCTATCTTAAAGTAGATGTACTACTACTTTGTGACACATTTGAGAACTTTCGATCAATTTGCCTTGAAAATTATGGATTGGATTGTGCTCATTACTTTTCTTTACCAGGTTTAACATTTGATGCTATGTTAAAATACACAAAAGTAGAATTAGAACTGTTTACAAACTATGACATGTATTTGTTTATTGAAAAAGGTGTAAGAGGTGGAATCACATCCTGCTCTAAAAGATATGCTCGTGCTAACAATAAATATATGAAAGAGTTTTATGATCCAAAAGTAGAAAGTTCTTATCTAATGTATTTTGATGCCAATAACTTATATGGCCTAGCCATGAGTAAATCTATGCCACTAAATTCATTTGAATGGATGAGCAAACGAGACATGACATCTTTTAGAGTAGAAGATATTCCTGATGACTCTTCTGTTGGTTTTGTTTTGGAAGTTGATGTTGAATATCCAATTCATCTCCATGATTCACATAATGACTTACCACTTTTTCCTGAAAATAAACCACCACCAAATTCTAAGCAAACCAAACTGTTAACTACTTTAGAAAATAAGGAAAGATACATTACCCATTATTTAAACCTTAAACAAGCTATTCAACTAGGCTTGAAAGTAACAAAAGTCCATAGAATCTTAAAATTCAATCAGAGCCCTTGGCTTAAACCCTACATAGATTGGAATACTGAAAAAAGAACATTAGCTAAAAACCCTTTTGAGGAAGACTTGTATAAAAAAATGAACAATGCCATGTTTGGTAAGAGTATTGAAAATATACGTAAAAGAATGTGTCTTGAACTGGTGACATCACAAAAACGTTTGGATAAATTAGTTTGTAAACCTACATTTTTGAATAGAACTATTTACAGTGAATCCTTAGCTCTCTTGTCTCTTGTCTCTTGTTCAAAAGAAAGTATTGTCTTTAATAAGCCTATTTATATAGGATTTACAGTGCTAGAGCTGAGTAAACTTCATATGTATGATTTTCACTACCAAATCATAAAAAGGTTTTTTGGTTCAAATGTTAAACTCTTGTATTCTGACACAGATTCACTTTTTTATGAAATTATCACTAATGATATATATGTAGACATGAATAGCCCTGAACTAAAACAGTATTTTGATACTTCTAATTTTTGTAAAAATCATCCATGCTTTTCAGCTAGTAACAAGAAAGTGCTAGGTAAATTTAAGGATGAATGTTCTGGCAAAATAATTATTGAATATGTAGGTTTGCGTCCAAAGCTTTACTGTTATGAAATATTTGAACAGGTTGTTAAGAAAAAAGCTAAAGGTGTTAACAAAAAGGTTGTGGAAAAAGCCATCAATTTTGATGATTTTAAAAAGTGTTTGTTTAATAGAGACTTGAATATTTGTAAGAAACAAACTCTGTTTCGATCAAAAGATCATAGAATTAATACCATTACAATCAATAAAATTGCAATGAATGCAAATGATGACAAAAGACACATTCTAGATGATGGTATTAACACCTTAGCTTATGGGCATTATAAATTATGTCAGTGAAATATGTAAATAAACTTGTATATATGATATTAATTTGTGTTTTTAATTTCCTTTATTATAATGGTATAAGGTTAACATATAACAACATATTTTTTAAATCAAGATTTATTTTTATAATACACTATTTACATAACTTTTTTGACAGTTCCAGACAATGGAGAGTAATAAACTAATCCATCACTTATAATCAAACAATATGCAGCAGTATTTGCAGGAACTGCTTTTGTAGTTTCAATTTCAAGACGTACATCAATTGTACCACTTTTTAAAGTTTCAGATTGCTTAGAACAATCACATACAAATAATGGTGAACTCTCAATGAAGTCTTTTTTGCTTACACATGGTTGATCATCACTTCCTGCATAGAAAGAAGATTGAAACTTTGCATAGTACTCATATAACAAAGCTTTGTTTCCATTCAATGGATCATATGGGTAGTATATTCCATTTAAATAAAGCCTTATGTTATTTAAATCACAAAAATCAAAATGAGATGCATTTTTATTATTTTTTTCTTTACGTTCAGTTTGAAAACCTACAATAACATATCTAGGTTTTTCAATAACTGATAGTGTCTTAACAGTCCATGTTTGAGAAGTAGTTTGAGGTAGCACAGGGTACTCATGCATTTGCCACCTCCTAAAGGCAATTCTTAAAGGTTGATCTTTTTCCACTAGTTTTAGAAGTGATAGTTTAATTTCATCATCAATTTTCACATAAGGCATTTTCCAGATAAGTTTGGTTATTACAAATTTAACAGTTTGTAAAGATGCTGCAGCTTGCAATATTGCATTTTTGTCTGATGAAGACCTTAACAATACTAGTTCTTGTTTCACATTTAGCAATATTTCTTTAAAATCTTCAGCAAAACCAAGCAACAGCTTGAGTGGTACACAAAATGAAAAGTTGGTTTTATCTTCAAGTACATCAATCTTAGGTTATGTCCAGCCAGCGTTCCCCATCCAGTGAACATCTCCAGGACGTGATGTAAGTATATTTTTCATTGTAGTAGTAATTCCAACATTTTTTACTCGATCTATTTCTGTTCCACATAGCTCATATCTTATTTCTTCAAATATAAATGCGATTGCATTATTTATTAGATTAGTTGTAGTATCATCATTTCCATCCTGTTTTTTCAAAGTTCCCTCAATTAAAATATAACTCTCACTTGGTAACGTATATACATCTTGCTGGTGAATTGGTATTCTTATTTCATCACTGTTTCCAAAAGTGTTTGATGAATAAGGATTGTGAGAATAAAATTGAAAGTCAATGACACTGTTGTCAAAGCTTGATTCAGAATTTATATTTAATATTCGATTCATTTCTTCTTGAATATTCCGATATTTTGCAAAAATAACAAATTTTCAGGGGATAAAGTTTTGATAAACTTATTGTTACTACGCACTGTAAAGTTGGATGTGGATGGCAGGGCTGCTCTTTCCTCAATGGCTGTACGTTGAATGCTGGGATATTTATGTATAAAGGGTTCTCTTTTTTGATTATAATTCCTAAAAAAGATTAATCCCATTTTTTATCTTCGCTGCTTTTCTCTTATAACTATACGTATATTTATATTTTCCCCTCTCAGATTAACTAACTCTCCGTTTTGATCTTCTAAAGCAATTATAAACTCTTCCAAACTATTTTGTTTGTTTATTGGAAGATAAGTTATCGTATTTGGTTTCTCAACAATTTTAAACCCTGGTGCTACAGTTGGATAAAACTCATGTAATACATGTCCTTCAACACCGTCAATATAAGATCCTTTTACAATATTACAAGTGATCCGTATGACATCTACTTTGTTAATGGAAACTTGATTGGGTGATTCAGTCCATTTATTTGGCTCAACCATGATATTGTCACTAAATCCAAGGAGAGACCCTAATTTTCCTTTTTTTGTGAAGTCTATTCCCTTGTCACAGAATATTTCACATTTTAAAGTGTTATTGTTAGCAACAAGTTTAAATTTAATATCAAGTTGCTGCCTTTCTATTTGCTTATTAATAAACTCATTTATACTTTCAATTTCATATGATCCTGTAGGAAGGCTAATCACATCTCCATTTGAAAAATATAATTTATTATTTTCATTCTCCTCCACGTTGGGTATTGAATTATAGGTCAACAAATCATGGAACCCCATTTCCCATTCATTTGATGTTGATAAATCAAATGGTGGAAACAGCGTACACCTAATACGTGATGAACTCCCTTTTATGCAAATCATTATGTATGACTGGCTAGAAAGTCTAAACACAAATGACCACAGTTCACTTCATCCTCCTTTTGTATAGGAAAATAATTATATCTAACCTCAGTGTGGTAAGGTCCACTGTTAAAGTAGCGTTGAAGTTCAACTGGTGGTTTGAGATTTCCAAAGCTGTCAAAATATTGGACTCTGAAACCATTTTTTGTATAACACACCCAATGTGTCCCCTTTCCATTGTTGTCATCCAAATTAACAATTCCAGTTTCCTTTTCACTTATATTATGAGGCAGTAAATCCCGCATAAACACTCCTCTAAAATTAGGTATATTTAAACGTGAAACCCACTTTAAAATATCCTTGTTACTAAGCGGTCTGTTAGGAATACTATTTATCTCCTTTGTTAAGTAGACGATCTTTTTTTTTTCTTTACACATCCTGATCCTTTATAGGGTCTTAGATATAAGCCTTTACCTTTTCTTTTAGTTGCATTAGCTTTTCTTGTATTTTTCTTATTTTTGCATTTACATCTTCTCTTTTTCTTTACCTGTTTTTTTCTACCAGCACCGAGTTTATTTTTAGCTTTCATTATATTTGTAATAGTCCAAGCTGCTGCCTTTTCACCGAAACTTGAATCAGAAGCTTTCACTCGTTCCCAAGCCTGCTCAGCTAACTGTTTGTCAGCAATAGATCTGTTTTTACTATCAGAAAATTTGGAATATGCAATATCATGCAGTTTACAGGCTGAGTCTAATTTGTTGATACCTGGATCACCACGAGCCAATCTAGTCTTTAAATCCGTTCCAGGACCACAGTACTGATAGCCTGGCAAATGCAGTTCCGTTGGTAAGATGTCTATAGCACGGTTTAAAATGTTCCCAGCTGCGCCTGTAAGACTACTGATCAGGCCGGAGCCTCTTGGATAACTGATGCGACCAGGTCGGGAGAACATCATATTTATTAATGATTTTCAGCTCCTGATTTGTCTTTATTTATTATCACTGGTGCAGGCGTATTAGCTTTTGGTTGCACCAAAGCGTTTTCACTAACTCCAAACAAATCGCTCCAATCACAAGTATGCAATGATTTATTTACTCTTTTTTTCCATTCCTCTTTAGTAAGCTTTGGTTTGTTTTTCTTTTTTAAATTATTATGAATCGCAAAAGACATTTCAGCCAATACATCAGCAATAAATGAATAGCTTATTGCATCTCCTTTTGCTTTAGGAAAACCTATGTTTTTTATAACATTTCCCTTAGCATCATATTCTTTATTTTCTTTTAAGGCTAGAGTATTAACTTGTAAATAACGGAAATTTACAGCATCATGTGACAGTTTTGGATCTTTTACATTACAAATATTTAAATTCTTTGCATTAAACACACTTTTATCGACAAGTAAAGCATTTTCCTTTAAAGTTCTATAGTTTACTGCATCACCATCCGCTATAGGAAAGCTTATATCTTGCACTCTGAATTGGTGAAAAGAGTAACTGTCAAGCAGTTTTACCGGTGAATTAGAAGTAAAATATAATTTATTAACAGCATCACCATCACTAATTGGTACATCCAAATTGCTTACTCTAAGCCCTTTCGCATCATACTCTTTCTTTTCATTCACCAATAAACAATTTCCAACAGATGTATTAAGTGTAAAAAGATTTACAGCATCCCCAATCTCTGTTGGTGCTCCAACATTACAAATCCTTTTGAGTTGGATATCATAATCACCATCATCTGTAAGATTAAAACCATCACCTTTAGGACCCTTTTGACCTTGTGCAATTTGAGCATTACCAGAGCTTGAGTAGCGTCCAAATTTATCAACACTCATCATGAAGTTCAGAACTGAAATGAGAGTAGAGATAATAAAACAATCAGTTTAATTACAATTATTTATTGAAAATTAAACATTAATAACACCATTGTTTTCCAATTCCAACAATTCCTCAATAATAGAATTTATTTCATTTTTATGTCCATTATTTCCTGCTTCTTGTGATCCATATAGGAGGCGCAGACGGTCAACAAGCTCATTTGGATCATCAAAGTAAATATATTCCGGCTTTCCATTGCCTAATGTAACTCCGTGTGAATCTGATTGTGGAGCAAGCAGATCAGGATATGTTGTCATTGGATTTGCTTTAATAACATAATCTTGCTGTGGTAATTTATTTTTTCTACTTTTTGGAGTAGTTTTTAAAACACCACTACCACTTGCCCCATTATTATCCCATTCATTTAATATTGGAGCAATTATATGCAAATACTTATGACCTCTGTTAGACCTTCGTCTACCAAGTGCTGAATAATTCACTCGATAAACATTAGTATCTTTTAAAATACCAGCATAACTTTTTAAATCTTCTTCAGTATAAATGTATTGGTTTGGTGAATTCATAAATATCAGCTCATAAAGCCCTCTTGTTCCTAAATACCTCACACCATTTATTATAATGTCATTTTCATCAATTTCAACTTTTTTATCACCAATCATCCAGTCATTTCCCTCTACACGAACACCATAGTTGTGGTCAATAGGTTTACCCCCTCTAATTAATTTGAGAAAATAATCTTTAGCTATATTGCCTGTGAAAGTATGTTCAACAAATTCCTTAGCATAGTGTCTTCTTTTTGGTGTTTTTAAAAGAGCCTCACCTGTACTTGTTGTTTCATAAACCACTGGCTCATGTTGCATTTCTTCAATACTTTGTTCATCGTCTCCTTGATTTTCGTACTCCATTTCATTTGTATCGAATGTGGTACTAGGGATTGCTGGACATTTG